CCGTGTCAACTCGGACAGGTCATGTAAGTGCTCTAGTCCTCGGCTTCTGCTGCCTCAAGTCCCAGTGTTGTACCATGTTTCCTCTGAGTGTGTTGCAAACTGCGAAGTTCCATTTGATTCTGAACTGGTTGATCACATTTACCTTTTACATACTGAAGTTCTGAATAAAATTTGTGTATCAGATCAAGTTCCATTAGCAGACAAATCTGAGAACCGCCAGAGCAGGATTCTTCCAGCTCTACCACATTTTGATCTTGTGGTGCATCCAGTTCAACAAATGTGTAAATGTAGCCCCTTTGTGGAGTAGCTCCTCTGCGAGGATCTGTTGGGGATGCAGAGATGGTAGTGGTGATGGAGTGGGGAGAATGGTTTTCCTTTCTGAGAACTTTCTTCATCAGAACATTATTCCTTTTAGAGTTGGTTGTTTTTTCTGGGGTGGGGGTGGGGAGTCATATATTGATAAGGCAATTGTTTAGACTGTGATGAAGAGCTGTTAGAAGAGCTTTGTGGAAGCAGGAGTCCGGCAGTTGTCCAGCACTCAGCTGACCCAGTTGACGCCGTGGTCAGACCACGGCACACAGAGAAGCAGTCAAAGGCAGGCACCTCACAGGTTCGTGGACCTTCCTTCACCAGGCAGAAGTACAGACCCTGCCTAGCCCCGTCACCAGCCTCTGACTCCTGACTTTAAGAACCTGGCTTCCCTTGCACATCTCCCTGCCCTTGAGGGGCATCTAGTCTTGCAGGGAGACAGGTGTGTCAAACCTAGGATCACTGGGAAACTCGGCTGGTGTAGTTGGTGAAGGCAGGGTGTGCCCCAGGTGTGTTCAGAGAGCCCATGTCTGCCTGGCACGGTTCTAATGAATTAAGAAAATATTTTTGAACAGCGATTTTCAAAAATGGTTCTTACCAATGGTTTAAAATAGAAGATTATACAGAACCCCAGGGCAGTTCTTGGTTTGCTCAGGTTGAACGAGTGGCTGCCACCTAAGCTGTGGCTGCCTGTATTTATCTACCTGGGGGCAGGAGATGGGGAGGGCGGTGGGAGGCGGCTCAGGGTGACAGTTGAATGGCACGCTTGCAGCATCGCTTTCTCACCCACGCACTTTCCATTGCCTTGCGTGCTGGGGTAAGGCTGTGTTTGTATTCATTTACTGTAGAAGTTTATTTTTGTCATAAACCGGTTGTTTTATTTTCACTGGGAGAAAGTGGCACATTCCAAAGCTGTCACAATGTCAAGTTTTCAAAGTGAAAAGAAGCCAATGCCCGAGTCTCTCTGACAGTGGGGAAGCTGACCCCCTTTCTCCAGCATCATGGTCATCTGGTGCAGACGGCCCTCCCACCCCTGCCGTGACTCTGTCCTTCCTCCCTCCGCCCGTTCTTGCACCCTTAAATGTCCCTACCATATGAATAATAAATACCATGAGCCATCGCTTACTGAGCACCTACTAGTGTGAGGCAGTGTTTCAGCACTTCACGTGCTGTAATAGTTTGCTTCTCATATTGCTGCGGGGCAGGTAGGATTTCTGCCCGTGTGCATTGGAGGACACTGAGGTTCCCAGATGTCCATGACGTGCCCAGGCATGTGGAGTGAGGATCAACGTTCCCATCTCTGGTCCTGAAGGTCATGCTAGGAGAAGAGTGCGGGTCTTCCACATGTGACTGAAGCCCCCAGTCATTCCTGGGCAGGTGTTTCTTATGAGAAGATTACTTGCAACGTACCTGTTTTGAGGTGGCCCTCTTACAGGTACTTCCCTGTTCAGCATTTCAGGGGGTTCTGGTACATAAAATTGATGAAAGCATGATGATGATGGTTGAAAACTTCATATAGGTCTCTAATCAAAGGTCACCTTTCCCAAGAGGCCTTCCCTAGCTGTCCCTTTCTAAAGTAGCACCTTTTGTTCTTCCGCTGTTTTTTTCTTTCCATAGCGCTTACCTCTGCCTGGTGCTACATATAAACACCTGTGTGTCGGGGCAGGGAGTATATCTAGGTATATCTAGGCGTTTCTCTAATGTGAATTCCGTGGAGGCAGGGTGTTCTTCACTGCTGTGTTTCTGATACCTAGATCAGTGCCTCACCTGCAGCATTGGTAAATATTGGTTAGTTGACTACATGATGCAAAATGCTTCACTGTTTTGTAAATCCCGGAGCACCTTTGGAGTTCTCGAGTTCCTAGAATTCTGTCTTTATATTTAAAAGTCTTATTGAATGAAAATCCTGGCCCCTCCTTCTTATTTCTCGCTTCTGTATTCTTCAATTTTATTATTTTTATATGCACTTATCTAAATATGTGTAAATGTACACATACACTAGGCCCATTGTTTTCCAACTTGTTTTTTCCCCTACTTATCAGAATTCCTTGATGAGCTCCTTGTTGGGTTCTGCAGACTTACAGATAAGGAATGATTCATTCATCTGACTCCCTGCAGATGAGCATTTAGGTGGTCTTCTTCTTCCCCTTCCTCCTCCTCCTCCTCCTTTTTTTTTTTTTTTAAGATTTTATTTATTTATTTGA